ACTCCATCTCAAAAAAAAAAAAAAAAAAAAAAAAAATCTGTGTAAGATTGCATTTATTCTATTTACCTGCTGTATAACTAGTACTTTGTTTTGATTACATTCCACCACCTTACCTTGTGCCTTACATTTTTCCATCACATTTGTTTCTTTTTAATCTCCTTTTCTTTTAGGTTGATTATAAAATTATTTTTTCTGTATGTTTATTTTGAAGTTTTATATATTTCACTAACATAGTTATTTTTCTTTACTTATAGTAAGTGATTGCCTGAAAGATCATAACATTTGCTAAAGTTTTTACTTTACAACAGTGGCTCAGAGTATTTTGTAGACCCTTGAATGTTCTTTGGATACTTTTCAAGGATCCAGAAGGTCAAAACTATTTTCGTAGTAAAATGCAGATGGTATTTGCCTCTTTAACTCTAATTGTTTCATAGGCATAAAGTGAAAGTTTTCCAGAAGCAAAATGATTTTGCTATCACAGGAGAGTGAATGTGGAAACATATACTAGAAATCATCTGCCTTCTATTAAACCAGTCGTTAATGTACATGTTTTTCCTGTCTTCTTATCCCTTTTACTATGCTCTTTGCTGTCTTTAGTTTTCTGAAGACACTTGCCAAAGTGCCTCAGTGTGTTTATATTTATCTAGCTTTTGTTTTGTTTGTCTTCTGAATCCATGTATTGACTTTTTTTTATCTATTTGCAAAAATTCTTAGCCATCATCTCTTTCAATATATCTTCTGTTCATTCCCTTTACTGTGCTTGGGTTGGGACTCAAATTTGAAGTTCTATACTTCTCAGTATACCACCTTTTTCTCTTACTCTCATATATGTTTTTTCCAAACTTTTGTCTCTCCAATCATCATTCTAGACATTTTTACTGAGCCATCTTTCTATTCACTAATTATTTCTTTACCTGCTTTTTAATATGTTGTTAAACCCAACTTTATATTTCATAAATATTTATTTGTCTAATTTCTAAATGGAACATTTTATAATCTATTATCTCAGATATACTCTGATGAAAGTTTCAATTTTATATCTTATATTCTTATACATAGCAAACCTAGGTAAATTAATGCCTGTATTAGATAATTCCAATATCTGAAATGCCTAAATATTCAGTGCTGCTGTCTATTGTTTTTATTCTTCATGTTTTTCTTCTGATGTACTTCATGAAGTTTTATTTCCTTATATTCTTGGTTATTTTTATTCTCTTCCAAGAAACAGTTCTTATGAAAATATATTGACATAAGTAATGTTATTGTCATCCAGAAAAAAATTTCCATTTTCTTGAGTCAGGAGCCTGAGAGAATGCCAGGATCATCATAAACCATTTCAAGCTTGATATTTTCTGGATCATCTCAATGGCTTAAATATGAGTTCCAGTCCTGGCAAGGGCTTGATGAATTCTGCCTTAACTTTGTAATTAGGATGCAGATATTTCTGATCTTAACGAAAAGCAGAGCATGTTTACTAAGGCCTCCACATGTGGAGGATTCTGGACTTTAACCTTTTGATCCAAACCTGTGAGACTGGCCAATGTAGCTGATTATCTTATGTGACATTTCTGTGTAGAAAGCACACCTATGGCAAAGGTTGACCCCACATTTGTATTAATGATTAACCTCTCTCAATTTTCATATTACTATAAATTTTTCCTGGTTGTCCTTTAATAGCTTGTAAAATATCTAGTTGCTTTAAGCATATTCTTTTCCAGTTTCCTAAGGTAACATTAGACGGTAGGTTGTCTATATTCTCTAATATGCAACTACTGGAAGTGTAAACTATAATATCCTTTTATTTTAACTCATGTAATTATTCTGACACATTAAATATATATTAAACTAAGTCATACTTTTCTTTATGGGATGGTTATCTATTAAGCTTCATTTACTCTTTCAAAACTGTGTTGCTATCTGATCAACTATACCTGACCATATAAGCAATACAAAATTGTCAGTTATTATAGCTGGTTCTTATTATGTTATTATTAACCAGTGAAGTCTCTATGTAATGCATATGTTAGTAATCTAAAAGATTACAGAATACATTATATAATTAATAGAGCAAGGCATCTTGGTTCAAATTCCAATTCTAACTTGTATCAAGTTTGTTTCATTTATTAAGCTAATTTATTTATATCACAATTCCTTAATTTGTTAACTCAGGGACTTTATAGCTCAGAGGCTTATTGTAAGACAAACTGAGATAATGAGATGGTGAATAATCCAATTATTTTAGAGAGTAAACATAATTAATGGAAAGAAGATGGGATCCATGAATAGATGACAGTAATATTTCAAATCCTGTGTTTCAAAGTCTTGCATTGTTATTAGTCAACTGTCACCACATTAATGCTGCACAACAAACCACCCCCTTACTAGCTATAATACAACAATAAGTATTTCTTTCTTTCTGAAAGCGACCTGATTGTCATTAGCCACCAGTTTGGAGCTAGCTGGGCTTGGTCCAGGTGTTAAGCTGAACTCTGGTCTGCTGCACTTGTTCCTATCCTGGGTATGAGTTTTTCATGGTAATGGCAAAAGCACAAGATGCTAAGCTAACTTTACTCGTGATACATTCATGAATATCCTATTGATAATAGAAGGTCTCATGAGCCAAAGAAAAAAATTATCTAGGAGGAGGAGTTAACTCTGCCAACCATAAAGCTAACATAAATTATATGAAGTAGGAAGTATATCCTCCCACATAGAGTTGTGATGAAAAAGAAATGGAATGCCACATGAATATGTTGCTAGAAATGTCATACTCATTTATTGTTTATGTATATGTTTGACTCTCACGAAAATCAGATCATAGAAAGAGAGGAGTGACTCATCTCACAAAATCTTTGTTTGGAAATCGATCTGCCTTTATTTAAGCACTAGAGGCTAAAGAATTGGTTTCGGCCGGGCGCGGTGGCTCAAGCCTGTAATCCCAGCACTTTGGGAGGCCGAGACGGGTGGATCACGAGGTCAGGAGATCGAGACCATCCTGGCTAACACGGTGAAATCCCGTCTCTACTAAGAAATACAAAAAACTAGCCGGGCGAGGTGGCGGGCGCCTGTAGTCCCAGCTACTCGGGAGGCTGAGGCCAGAGAATGGCGTGAACCCGGGAGGCGGAGCTTGCAGTGAGCTGAGATCCGGCCACTGCACTCCAGCCTGGGCTACAGAGCGAGACTCCGTCTCAGAAAAAAAAAAAAAAAAAAAAAGAATTGGTTTCAATGCCATTTGACATATGAATACACTAGCATAAATTGTATTCATCTAAGATCAATGATTAAAAGGAGGACATTTATTATTCTCCCCTGTCACACAGAGAGGAGAAGTGGTCCACCGCCCTAGTGGTAATGCCATAAGATGTCTCTCTGATTTACTTTCTTTACTCACTTCAACATTGTGTATTAAAGCACATTCCCAATTAATAAAATGTCAGCAATTGGTAAACTAGTGTGATGCATCAATTAATTCTACTACAAATAAGTCTTTTTTTTCTGTAAGAATTGGTAGAGTGGGAAATATAATCCATGGCAGGTTGGATGGCATAAGTATACACTTGATAAATGCTGATGGAAATGTATAAGAAATTCTTATGAGAGGTTTACATTCATTTACTGAAGGTAAATCTGGTTTAGTGTACTTTTTTCATCCTTTAATTTGATAATTTTATGTGAGTTTTTAATACTACATGAAAAAATATCTAAAATATTTTTAATATTTACATCTACACATTTTTTAGACATAAGATATATTAAAATAAGAAGTTTTTGACAGTTGATTGTATTCCATTTTCTTGCAGATTGTCTACATGGGCTGGTGTGAAGCCCGGGAGCAAGACCCACTTCAGGACAGAGTGTACTCCCCGACCTTCCTGGCCCTGAGAGGCTCATGTCTCTACAAGTTTCTGGCACCTCCAGTAAGTGTTTTATCCAAATTTATTGCTCTTTTCCATATTATCACAAGAGATTGACATTAACTTAACAGTACCAAATAGTATGCTATCAATATTTTTAAAAAATAATATAGAGAAAAAAATAGAAATCAGTTTATCTGATTTAACTTACTAAAAATGTATGTTCTGACATTAAACATTTACTTTATCACCCTTGTAAAGTCTGGAACTTTCTTCTTTATAAATAGTGAACCTATAAAATAATGGATCAAAATATAATGCCATTAAAAATCTCATGAAGACATGGGAAAGGAGATTTTAAGAAACATTTTCAAGCATATGTCAGTGTATTTTGTTTATTGAATATAATTTAAAGAAATGAATATACCAAAAGTGAAATTAAAAAGAGTAAACTGTTTTAGAGCTATGCATGAATGAACATGTTTACTAAACTCTTATTTTCAAAGGATCTTTTGAAAGTTATTTTAAATTTATTCAGCACTTTTAATTACTAGCAATTTATTATTAGCAAAGGGTAATAAGGAAATCTCAAAATGATAGCACCTTATCTAGCTACTATTAAGTCTATCTCACCATAGTGGCAATCCCATAAGATGATGTAAACTCTCATGGTGTTCAAAGTTTAAATTAGAGGATTCCATCCTTGGCAAACATCATAAATACATTCTGGTAAGCTGTCATTTATGACAGTCAAACTATGTTTATCTATGTTGTACTGGTCTCTCTAAATAAAATCAATAGCATTTTCATCCTCTATTATATTCTATATCCTAGTTATTGAGATTTGTATTAGATTTGTGTAGATACCTATTGCACCTCAAGTCTTCCTTTTGGAAACATGTACCTTGTAGCTCAGAAGACACTTAATAAATATTTATTGAATATAATTACCAAATACCCGACCAGTCACTTGCAGGTCTAATAATACATAGGATTTAGAAATCATCAGGTCTGATTTGCTGCTGTTTTAAATGTCTGTCTCTACATAGTTTAAAGCACTAGGAAGACAGGAAAAATTAGTATTTATATATTTTACTCTATTCCTACTCTGAATAATTTATTTGACAGGGCAGTTAAATATATGTTCCCAACCTAAGTAAGTGAAATAACTGCATTACGCTTTTGGTATGTTTGCAATGTCACAGTCATCTTGAAATTGCTTAATATAAATGATGTATATTTAAAAAATTAGAGCTGTGCTGAGATCTAGTATTCTCTGTATTTAACTAGTGGTAAATTGAGAAAAAAATTATGAGTGCAGAATGTAAATACTTAGTATTTATAGGTAGACAATACATACATTATTTAAGATACATAAGGACACTGCACAAATGAGAACTGTTACACATAGCATAAATCGTTTGCTGAAAGCATAAGACAAATGGTGACAAAGCGTGGAATAGAGGAAACAAAAGCATTATGTAGGGTCCTTTATGAGCATAGCTTCACAGATGAGAGACTAAGTAGATACATCTGTGAAAATTTTTCTTATTTTTCACTATATTATGCAAATCAAATACAGTGGTAAATAACTTTCTAAAACAAATTAAACATTATTTTCTTATCTCTTAAAGGTGACCACCTGGGACTGGACGAGAGCAGAGAAAACATTCTCAGTTTATGAGATTATGTGCAAGATCCTCAAGGTATGATCAATAAGTAGTCAGTATTTGAATGACTTTTCCTCAGCAAATAGTGCCTCTGGGCTCATAAGTAGCTCATGAAAGCAAATGATTCATGGAATGAAAGAAGAGACAAGATAAAGAAAAATGACAGAAAGAAAATAAACTAGACAATAACGAGAAAATATGGAATGCACAGAAGTGCACTGGCACTCAGCTATCTGCTTAAATAACTTGCGAGCAGACTCTGCAGTCCTGCCATGGGTGAGGGAATAGGAAGAAGCTCCTCAGGAGTTCACTGGGGAAGAAAATTCAGTTGAAAGTAGTCTAAATTTAAACGTCGGTTGTTACCATGCTTTTTTTTTTTTATTTTTTTTTAATTCTTTTTTTTCTGAATAAAATGCAAAAGAGAAAGATTTGGGTAAGGCTTGGAATTCGAAAATGTAGAAAATATCAAGAAAAATGCAAAGAAAAGTTTTGCTCTTTTGTTCTTAATCTCATGGCTCGACCGTCTTTTTGCATATGTAAAAGAACATTCGATTGTCATATATGAGTTGAATTTCTGCCATATGCAGGATTATTGCAATAGCAAGCCATCACAAATTCTGTAAAATGTCACATGGTTTCTATAGCGTTTTTTAAAGAATTAAAATTGGAATAACCTATAAAACATGAAGACTGTCTACTTTCTTCACTTTCTACTTTAGGGTTTGTAGGCTTGGACTCACCACAGACTGATAATTCAGTTCCTGCATAAGGTTGACTTTGTTTCTGTACCCAAGGGAAACTGACTTGCCTTTGTTTTATGTTAGCTATTTGTCTTCCTGTTAAAGACTTAGCAGAATAAACAAATGCTGAAACATTTAAAATACAATAAAATGCATCGAAAGTGTCTGAAGGCAGAGAGACAAAAATTATAATTACCTCAAGAGTGTTCATTGTTTCTGTTCCTTAGAGAACTTTGGATTAAAGCTGAAGTTCTCTGAAGTGCAAAATCCAACTAAGAATAGAGTTCATCGATTGCTCATCAGTGTGCATGCTTTGAGTTCTTTTGTAGGCGTAATGGTGGAGGGACAACGTGAAATACTTGAGTGTATTGTTAGTAAATAATGGTCTGACAGTTTCTTAAACAGGTGCTAGTATCTGAGGAAAAGGAGATCATACCCAACTCCAGTTTTCTGAAACAATTGCCAAAATGGCTAATGAGATAGCTTTTTTTGGATATGGAGCCTTGCTCGGTCACCCAAGCTGGAGTGCAGTGGCGTGATCTTGGCTCACTGCAACCCCCCAGCTCGCGGATTCAAGCAATTCTCCTGCCTCAACCTCTTGAGTAGCTGGGACTACAGACGCATGCCACCATGCCCAGCTAATTTTTTCTAAATTTTATTTTAGTAGAGATGGGGTTTCACCGTGTTGCTCAAGCTGGTCTTGAACTCCTGAGCTCAGGCAATCCACCCACCTCGCTCTCCCAAAGTGTTAGGATTACAGGCGTGAACCAGCGTACCCGACCAACTGTGTATTTTTAGCAAAGCTACTCATATAATTAGAATAAGAAAAGAAAGAAGGAAAGAAAGAAAAGAAAAGAAGGAAAGGAAGGAAGAAAGGAAGGAAGGAAGGAAGGGAGGGAGGGAGGGAGGGAGGAAGGGAGGAAGGAAGGGAGGAAGAAAGGAAGGAAAGGAGGAAGGAAGGAGAGAGAAAGAAAAGAAAAGAAAAGAAAAGAAAGAAAGAAAGAAAGAAAGAAAGAAAGAAAGAAAGAAAGAAAGAAAGAAAGAAAGAAAAGAAAGAAAGAAAGAAAGAAAGAGAAAGAAAGAGAGAGAGAGAAAGAGAGAGAGGGAAAGAAAGAAAGAGAGAAAGAGAAAAGGGGAGGAGGGGCAGGGAAGGCATGGAGGGGAGGAAAGAAAGGAAGGGAGGGAGGGAGGGAGGGAGGGAGGAAGGAAGGAAGGAAGGGAGGAAGGAAGGAAGGAAGGAAGGAAGGAAGGAAGGAAGGAAGGAAGGAAGGAAAAAGAAAACTGCCTCAACAAATCAACTTTGTCTATTCTCTATCTGTACATTAATATAACTTTTCTCATAGTAATAATGCAACACGTATTTATATATTCTTACTTAGACTTAAATTATTTTCTAACCACTCTCCAAGTAGCTACATGATCTTTAAAATCCTCTCTTTAAAAATAGTCATTTAAACATTAGAACATAATGCAGTTTATTATAATAGTTAAAAAGGATAATTTTAAAGGAAACAATAAACATTATGTTTAGCTCTATCAACATATACAAACACTCAATATTTTATATCTCTTTGTTATAATTTTTGACAACGTTAAGATTATGCAATTCGTGATCTGTTTTTTTTTTTTGTATAAAAATATGTCTTGAGATGTGTTTTCTATGGCAGTTAATGTTCCTCAAAAACACCCATAACTTTTTGATAGATTTTATCTATTCCATCATTTGCCCATACTCATTGAGTCCACTTTAAAATTTTACATTTAGTTTTTTGCCCCCACTTGTTTCTTGCTATCAGGCATATCACAACAATCATTATCTGAATGATTTAATAGGAAATTAAATGTTTGCTGTGTACCAGGTAACCTCAGTACTTGTTATGTGGCTGAGAAAAACGCAGAAAAAGCTACTTCTTTCATTGCACTTGCATTTTATTAAGTGGTATGATGTTAAGTAAATCAGTAAAGAAGACAAAAATAGTAAGTAAATAAATGAGGCAAAATAATAATATGTAGGAAGGACTGATGTTTGCTCAGAGACTTGTATGCAAAGTCTTATTTCCTTTATTCTAAATTCTGAGCTTTGGGAATCCCGTGTGGAAAAATATTTTAACATATTCAACATATTAAATCCATGTGTCCAAATTGTCTCCTACAAAAGTCACCCTAACTTATGTTGCCATCAGAAGTGTCTAGGAGAATGCCTGTGTATTTATATTCTGACCAAATTAAAATCAAAGACTACTTCTCATTTTAACTTTCTATATAAAATTTTCTATAAGCCTTAGTTTACTTGAATTTTTAAAAATACTTTAAGTTCTGGGATATAGGTGCACAACGTGCAGGTTTTTTACATAGGTATACATGTACCATGGTGGTTTGCACCTATCCACCCAGCATCTAGGTTTTAGGCCCTGCATGTATTAGATATTTGTCCTAATGCTCTCTCTCTCCTTGCCCCCAACCCCCCAGCAGGCCCCGGTGTGTGATGTTCTACTTGGGAAAATGTTTACATAGGTTAGTGAGGCCTGGAGATACGTATTCTCAGACATCAAATACAATGTAAATCTACCTTCAGTTGTTGTTTGTGATTAAGGAAGTCCCCTCCCATCAGTAAGTACAATGCTGGTGCTTTATGCTTTGCGGCTTGACATTAGACATATAAAACCATCCTTTAAGCATCCCTTTTCCCAAAGGAAAATTTCATGTAGCATAAGAACAGAGGAGTGGCTACTAGATTCAATGCTCAATGGATTATTTTCCTGCATGCAGATTAGATTCTGCCCTTCTCCTGTTTCAGGATCACTGGTTGGAAAATAATTTGCTTGATAAGGAAGCCAGTCAGATAGGTGGGGCTGGTGAGCAAATCAGAAGGGGCGTCTTCTATAGCCCAGCCCTCTCCTGCCATGAGGTACCAGTTCTGATGCAATCTGTGCAAGACTCTGCCTCCAGAAAGGGATCCCTCAGATGAGGCTAATTAAAAGTCAGATTTGAATATCTGAATCACAGAAGAACTGGCCGGTGACCATTAATCAGGAAAATCCTGTCCCTTCTGATGTGTTGATAATGAAGCTATGCCAGTAATAACAAAAATGAAACAATAAGGTTGATCTGGTATATACAGCTTATATGTATATACCAGGTATTGTCCTAAGTGCTTAGTATATGAATTCAGTTTATATTTACAGCACCACTATCTGTCAGTTATTGTTATTCCCATTTTAGAGATTTATAAACTGAGGCAAAAACCAGTAGAAGTAAATAGCCTAAGGCCACATAGCTAGTAAATATCAGAGCTAAAGATATGAATCTTGCCGTGTCTCAAAATTCTGTGCTCTTGCACATGATACTACACTGTCTCTGTCTCTCAGTGTAAATATTGATAATTTGGGGGGAAAAAATGGGAGCCAGAGAGCCGGCCTGGTACTGATGAGAGAGCAAAGGTTTCAGAAAAAGAGGAACTTGGCAACAAATGCCACTTCTATTACTAAAACATTACCCTTTATGAGTGTATTGGGCACTACGAACTTCAGTTCTTCATCTGTGAAATGCAGCTATTGATGCAGAGGGTGCTGTGAAGATTAGCAATTGGTTAACTGATTTGTGAATGCATTTTTGTCTGTTAATTCATATTATAGTTACTTCGAGTACCTTCTATGTGCCAAGCACTCCACTAGGTATTAAGGATCAATACAACAGTACAAGAGAGTTGAACTCACAAAAATTCCAGCTGGTGAAGGAGTTTAGGAAGGGCATTTTGGAGGAGAACTTCAATGAACGGAAACCTGAGTGACTGTGAAAGGGCTCCACAGAGGAACATGTGTCATGGGAGGGGTTGGAGTTCAGCCAGTAGGAAGGGAAGAGCAACCTGGCACAAGGAATAATGTGTAAACTTGCCCAGAGCTACAAAGAAGTGTGTGCCCTTTCAGCAATGCAAACAAGTTGGGTATGAGGTTGCTGTTAGTGTTTGCATGGAACAGATCATAGGAAAAGGCCTTAATAAAGCACATGAACTTTATCTGAGGAACAAAGGACAGCCACTAAAACATGTCAAGCATGGGGTGGGACTGAGCTTGCCCATTTAAAAATCCTCCTCAAATGCAACGTGAGATGGAGTTGAAGGGGTTGGAGGGGAGTGCTCCTGGGGCATCTTCTGGTCAACAAGGGCGTGGACAATGGGCTAGGAAGAGTGAGGCAGAGGAGTCGGGCCTGAACAGATAGTGCCGGTGCCCTCACAGTAGCCACTTACCTGCATTAGAACAGCCCTCTTGCACCACTCTGGTTTGTCTCGTTTTGCTC